TACATATATATATATATAGATACTATGATCTAGCACGATGTTTAAAGCATAGTAGGTATAGTATAGAGTTTAGAGAATCCCTTCCCTCGGGAAAAAGAGTAGATCTTGGTATGCTGCACACTGCACTCTGACTTTCAGAGTCTCGGAAGGCGTGGCACAAGGGTTGACGCGTCTGAAAGAGAGCAACAACAGAAACAACAGATTGAACATGTCAGGAAAGGTTGAACAGGAGCGTTGATGAAAGGAATGCCTTTCATAAAGTTTTCCTTTTTGTGCGTAGTGTGCAAACAAATGACGGCGGGGACAGACCACACCCAAGGCGACCTCTTCGAAGTCGTTGCTGAAACTGCAGCGAGCAGTAGCGAACCTCGATTGAACTAGCAGTTCAAGACCCTTGCGTGCTACTTGTCTTGGGATGTGCAGGGGAGAATGATTCGATATGCTCTTTTGGATCTCCAAGGTGTGCAACGTCCGCGACCTTCAGTTTATCTCGTACGAGGGAGGTCTTTAAAGACGAGCTTCTCCTGAGGGAGGCTCGGTCCTCGCGGTTGGATTTTGGAATCCTCGGCGAGCTTCGATTTATGTAAATGCGAATCGGCAGCCGACTGAGCTGGTTTTATATTGTAACGCATGTTCGGCCGAGCAGAAGTAAGATACAGTAAGCAGGCAGAGCCAGAGAGAGCTCAGTCGTCTGCACGTGCCAGAAAGCTGGCCAAAGTGTGTTTCGTCGTATCCACGCGCACCTCCGGAAGCAAGAGGAGCAACGCAGCAGAACATGGGCTTCATGGAGTCAAAGATGTCAGGGTGTCCTCGTATCTCAGCTGGCCTTCGCTTCTCCGATGCTTCCATCGAAGATTTGTTGGGGTTGCTCTCAGGCCTTGGGCCAGTGGCTGCCATCCTGTTAATCGCCTGGGCCCTGGCACTTGATGATGCTGACCGGCCAAAAAACAGCTGCTGCGGCGACTACTCGTCTTCCTCCCGCTCCCTCCCCCTCCGCATCCTCCATGTACTCCCACGGAATAAAGCACTGCTGCTGCCGCCATTCTGTGTCGCTGCTGCTACCACTGCCGCCCTGCCACCACCTCCTTGACGACCAGTAGATGCCAGTAATTATAGTGTTTTCCTTTGATAAAAGGGGGGAACATGAGTTACCCGTAGCGCCGTAGTACCTAGCTATCCGTCTTCCACTTGCTCGCTTCGGCAGCCGTGCACTTACTTGCTCAGGATTTTCATCATGCTCTGGGCCCTGTTGTTGAGCTCGGCCCTGAGACGCAGCTGAACTCCGACTGGAGGGCTGGAGAAAGCGTAAACATGTGCTCTCCCATAACAAGCCCTTGAGTGGCGTAACTTATGGATAGCTGTGGCCGCGCAAAGTACATTACTACATGCGCTAAACTTCAGCGTTTGAGAGATCATTGTGATGCGTGCGAGCCGAAAGCTATTCGTCGAAAGTCAAGGTGGGCCCACCCACCGTCCGTGCAATCCTAAGCTTCTTTTGCGTGCTTTTGTCAGCGGGATGTCGGTGCGCACGATACGTCTGTCGCATTTGTGCGGCCGCCGAGATCACGGAGGGAGACGCTGCCGCAGGCCCTTCGGAACTGGGTTCTTCGAAACTTTGCCGCAGGCCCCAAAACCTCCACCAACCAGGCCCAAAAGCCAAGGGCCTTGTTTAAGACATGGTAAAGTCTCTCCAGCATGCAGAAGCGGAGTTCGGGGGGTTGTACTCTTCGAATGTGTTTTGCAAAGGGAACTGGGCCCCAAAGACTTCTGGTAGTGTTGCAGCAGACCAGCGATCAAATATGTGTGAAGTACTGGGAGTGTTTAGGCTTGGGTGTAGCAGCATGGGGCCATGGCCTGGCCGTAGGTGCCCGTGATACATGACCCCAAACCCTAAACCCATGTAACATACAGGCATGCAAGGACGCGAACCCTGCTAGGTGTGGGGTCGAGTGAAAGTCGGAGGCTGGGCTCGCGTCGAAGCAGCTTCCACCATAATGAGCCAGGTTTAGGGTTTAGTATAGGGGCCTTAATAATCAGAATAGGGGTTTGGGATGTATTACACTATGATTGTAATAAGGAGCCCCCATGACTTATTAAGGCCCCTACATTGGGTTTTGGGGTATCCATGTGCTCCAGCAAGCCTGTTGGAAAAAAAGGGTGTCCCTCCGCTGGGAAGGACACTTGCCACCGACGGATGCTCCGCAGGAGCACCGGGCCATGGCTTGATAAAGAGCGAGTGGCTTTTTGGGGTGTTGATACAGGAGCCTTGTGATTAATCATCATATTATGATCTATCCTCTAGTGGACCCGGCATAATCATAGCACGCTAGTTTCTGGAACTGCTCGGCCTGCTGTATGTGCTCTTTGCGAGAACAGCTAAACTTCAGTGGCTGAATGACACCACGTTCCTCCACAATGTTTACGTCAGTTACATCATCCGGCCTAGAATTTTGTCGGCTATCTGAGCCCTGACTCCTGCACCCTACGCTTTACGACTTTGATTGGGCCCTCCCTTGGAAGGACTTTCCACTACTGGACAGCTGGCACCCAAAGACTGCGGAGCCAGCTGGAGCAGTGGCACGAGCAGGATTCCGAGAGCCTATATGAACTGGGATTTCTAAGTGTAGGGTTTCAAGACTCTTAATTAGTTTAGGGCCTTGGCGTTTTGTGAGGGTTCATGGAGTTCGGAGTGGTGTCATTGGTCTTCCAGGAACTCTTTGCATGGAGGTGGGTTGAGGGATATGTGCTAAGGGAAGAGCTCTGATTCCTGCTGGTCTCTCCTCTACACGTGACCGGGTCCGTCCTTTGAATTCAGATGTCGAGCCTGAAGATGAACGGCTGGGATGAGGGTAGGGTGGGCGAGCCGGGCATGAGGACTGCAATTCGGGTTCAGGGTTACCTGCATTAGTTCCTTTTCTTGGTTTAACCAGTTCTATATTTGGGATTGTAACCCCCAAAAAGGAACCACAATGGAATAAAGTAACCCCCAAAAAAGGAACCGCAATAGAATAAAGTAACCCCTAAAAAGGAACCACAATGGTACAAAGTAGCCCCCAAAATGGAACCACAATGGAGACTAGGTATGGTGTGAGAGACGTCCTGGCCGAGGTCCTGTCTATGGTGACCTCACTGGCACTGCCTGATGCCGCCCACCGTGAACGAGAAGGCACTCCCTAGATATTATAATAATCATATAGTATAATATACCCCAAATCCCTATTCTAATAATTACTGAAAGGCCCCTACATTGAATTGAGCGCAAAGAGTAGTTCAATGATGTGGTCAAGCAGCAGGAGATTCGGAGACCGTCTGAGGGTCGGCCTGGGTCGGTCTTAGTTGGCGAAACGGGAGTTTCCGAAAGTAAGGGGTTCCTTATTTATTTTGGGGTCCTTATAATACGGATCCTACTATTTAGGGTACTATATTAGGGTCCCCTATTTTCAGAAACCCCCAAACCAGGCGAAACGTCGGCCGTCTTCTTCGTTGTGCCGTGCACGGAACTCAGTGAACCCTTCGACGGATCAGAGGTTTGCCGAAGCCATGTGGGTAGTTTTCAAAATTAGGGCCTGTTTATAAGAGTGCCGTACTATATTGGGGACCTAAAAAGGGACCCTAGTTTAGAGAACTACTCATGTGCTTCGATTGAGAATCACGTGTATTTCTCAGAAGAGTTTCCGATAGCGAGGCATGTTCTGAACATCGTTCACGCATACAGGTCAGGGCCAACTTCTTTATGGAGTGAGCTGTCACCGACGGGCAGCTGGCCAAGTCGCTTGCAGGGTTCGCGGCTTGACTCGTGTTCCTGGCAACCATATACACAGCGTGTACATGTGTATATGTATATATATATATAGATACAGATAGATAGATTTGTATATACCGAGCGCGAGAGGGAGAGAGCGAGAGAGAGATACACAGAGAGATTGAGTTTGTTTGGGAAGCAGAGACTTCTGAGAGTTTGCTGTCAAAGCGAGGTCGAAGCTTCTGAGCTGCTGCATCGTGATGCAAGCGAAGCTTGCTTGCAGAAGTCGTCCGGTTTCGGATTTCTGTGGGCGAAGAGGTTCCCTGTCCCATCGGCTCAATTAGCATGCTGAGGTTTCTCGCAGCTCGGTGCAGAAGGCTGTGTGCGTGCTGTTGCGATGCCCTTTCTTCGGCCTCGCGCAGCAGCGTCTCAGTCCCGTGACACAGGCCTCGGACTTGCAACTTCAGCAGAAGCAGCTAAATAGTGATACACACATGCACACATGGTTAGCTGCGCAAATGCGCAAGTACCAATGACCTAATTCTGCAATTTGCACATGCAGTACATATAGCGTGTGCATATGCATGTGCATATGCATACCTTATATCACCCCTACCTACAGTCTTCATACGTCTTCTTGCATCATGCATGACCCTTTCTGCCATGCGGTGTTGAGACGGTGCGTTCATGATTGAATCGGAGCCAGGTCTTTTTCGAACAGCGCGATTTCAGATGCACGGACCTCCTGCGCGATTTCGACACTCAGTGCCTCTGCTGCTGATGGTTTCGGGATGTTTCGAGTTTCGGATGCTGAAGTGGCTGTGGCATCTTCAGCTGTGGCATCTTCAGGTTGATTCATCTCTTTATTGGTGCCCTGGTCAGGTTGGATGCAGTGTCTTTTGAAAAGCTTCCAGCATCTTGGCGCAAACTGTCTGCTGCACAACAAGATGGTCCGCAATATAGGGGCCTTAATAATTAGAATCTGGTTTGGGGTTTTGGGGGTATACTATACTATAACTGTAAGAAGGACCCCCCCCCAAAGCCCTATTCTAATTATTAACGCCCCTACATCAAGCCCAACAAGCCCAAGGACTCGGAGTTGTTCTTCGGAGTTCATCACGCGCAGCTCTTCCGCGGCCTCCGGCACAAGCTGCTCAGCGTGCTGAAGGCGATCCTCCTGGAAGCAAAGGTTCTCGAGCTTGCCTCAGTTTGGGTGTTTAGGGCTTAGGGTTTAGGGCAGTTTTGGTGGCAGACTGCCGATTCAAACCTGCGGAGGGGCCACAACACCCTGAAACAGAAGCAGGCACCGGCTTGCATTCTTGCCACACCTATTTTGGAAGACTTAATTACGGGTGTTTTGGTTCAAGATCTCTCATTTGCATGTCAATGCTCTTCGGTCCATGAGCGTTTGAACTTGAGGTGATCTCTGAGAGTGCCGAACAGTGCAGTCGGACCGTTTTGGCCCTGCTCTCCCTGCTGCCTGGCGGTCTCTTTGTCATAGTTGGATACCATTTTGCATTTTTATGGGTACCTAAACCCAATCAAGAATACGATAATCATGATGATGATAATAAGAATAAGACAACAATTCGATTAATGATGATAACAGTACATATACATTCAACATTTTTGATTCTGTCCCAACCATGAACTAGGTCTCTGGCTGGGCTTCAACTCTGATGGCTTTGGAAGCCGTCATTTCCATTATCGGATCCTCAGAAGTCGAAGAAGCAGACTTTCAAACACCGCTTTCAGGTGTGGTATGGGGTTTAGGGCTAAGGGATGGTTCCTACATACCCTTACGTTATAGTCGCCCCAAATTCTGGGCAGGAGAACACTATTCTACCCATAGGCTGCCACAGCACTCTCTTCCGCAAAGATTACGTCCGCAAGCTGGGAGTCCACCAGAAAACCTCGGAGACTGCTAAGGAAACATGGGCTTCCCATCCAGTGCTTCGGCCCGAGGTGTGGTGCTGGGGCCCCGAGTTTAGGGTTTAGGGTTGCCTTGGTTTGAGGATTCAGGATCAAGATCTTCAGGGACCCTGGAAGTCCAGCTTCTGTAGGGGCGTTTATAATTACCAATACTATTTTGGGTGTTCCTTAGTATAATTATAATAGAATGGGCCCCAAAACGCTATTCGGATTATTAAGGCCCCTCTATTACCTAATTGTTTTGCTGCTATGCTATAACATGCTATGGCTATGCAGCGGCAGTCGTCTGCCACATATGCGCCGACGCTTCGAGAAGAGGCTACAACCTGTCTTTGCCCCAAACCCTCGCAGACATCCCCTCTGCGGCTTCGGGGTTCTTCTTCCGTTTTGCGTGGATTGAAAGCATAGCTATATAAACCCTGCCGCATCCTGTCAACCTGTCGCTGCCGATCCGAGAGACTATGGAGATCTTTGCTCTCCGAGGTCTTCCCCTACTTGGGACTGCACATGCTGGACAGCTTGCTCCAGATGCGCGGGTTTCTCATCGGGACCACCAACCGAATCTTCGTCGACCGCACGGCGCCGGACCTCATTCTGGAGGCCAGAGTTCATGTAAGAAGCATACAATCATAGCAGGAATCATAAGACTACTTGGTAATGACATTCCTCTCCAGTTGCAAGTTCTGCTAGCCTGAATCCACTCCCGCCGCGCGGGGCCATAGGCCAAAGAGGGTTTCGAATACAGAGAATCCCGCGAGAACCGAAACCCGCCAAATGAACAAGGCAATGTTCCATTCAGAGACTCAGATGTTCAGCGAGGAAATCCAAGCCGACGCATCTAGACAGGAGCAGTTGTGAGAGTTCTGTCTTCTCTGTTCTTCCGACATGAACAGCACGGCAAAAGACCGGCGACGGGGAACACGAAGGAAGTCTGCAAGCTGTAGTCAAGTGGCTTGCCTTGGCAAGCCCCATGCATTTTTTTTGAGCATCAGGGAATGGTGGAATCTATGCAGGAACGGAGGATCATTGATTCTTGCCCCAAGTTTGCCAAAAGAATCGCCATGAGTGCAGGTGCCCAGCACTGCGGCAAGTACCGAGTACAGCGTGGATTTCCCGTGCAAAGAAGTGAAGGAGCTGACGAGGCATGGCCCAAAAGTACAGCCAAGACTGTGGACAAGTTGACAAGTCCAAAGCAATGTTTGTAGACACACAGATGACTAAACATCATGCCAAACAAGCTAGAACCAGAATGATGTGAGATGAAGCGCAGGTGTACTGGCGCCGAGAAGGCCGGCAAGCAAAGCAGAGCATGATCGGCTACAGTCGCATGCGGCGCACTGGCATGAGATATGCCATACTCATGTTTCTGACTTTCTTCATGTATGTGTCTATATACATACACACATGCCTAGACACAGCAAGTGCGTGACATCTTTCTCATGCACTTCAATAAGCAGGCGGGCATGCGTGAGCTGCATGACATGACCGCGCATATCTTGCTTTGCATGCCCTGCACAGAAGTACACAAGTGAGTAGCACAGCTGAACGTTGCCCGTTGTCTTTATTGGCCCAGCACATGCTCAGTAGCGAACAGCCGCTAATCAGTAGTGGGGTTATCTGAAGCTGCTGCATGTTCGGCCTTGCGATTGCCTCTGCCTTCGGATGTGCGCAAGCGTCTAGGGCTATCAGTCGGGATCAACGACTGTTCCAAGGAGCCCTTGGCATATCCTGTGGCAGATACTACAACATGTTGCGAAGAGTTGCAGCGAATTCATGTTGAGTGTCGTAAGTGCATTGATGCGGACCGTAACAAGTTTGAGCAATACTTCCACATCTTGTGCGAGCAGATCACTGAGGACCATGATTTTGTGCTTTTCAATTTGGACATATTTCGACGGTCATTGCTAAAGTCATAGACGGCGAGGCAGTACTCGTATTCAGGGATGAAGAGGAAGAAGTTGGTGGGCAGATCCTGATGGAGAAACTTGTGCATAGCAAGGGTAGCCATGATGCCGTGATATTTTGCCTCACGAACTGTTGCCCTGGAATTTCAAGAGAAAGTGCTGACAAGCTTGTGAAGCCGGGAAACAGATTAGCCTGGGGCCGAGCCCTAGTCACCATCTGGGCGTCAGCCTTTGGATATCCTGCCGAAGAGATTCATCATTCACGTGACTGCAGCACATTCATGCGAAAGTTTGCTGGGTGCATCGGTCATGACTTATCGTTGGCTGTGATGGTCTGAGATGATAGCACGATTGAAACGGCAGTGACATCGCATTCCCTTAATCCGGTCCGACAGCTACCTCAACAACCATGCTTGTCTGCACAGCAGCTTCCCCAACGATCTGATCTGGCTGCATATCCCTCCGGCCAGCACCTCGCTTCGACATACGGCCGTCAACTTGCGGGTGTTGATAATGATATCACCCCCGGACGGATAGTGTGAGTATCCACGGGCTTGAACTCGGATTCACGGATCTTTGTGAGCCAGCAAGCTCAGGCCGATTGGCTTCGATCCAGGTCATGGACTTTGCAGAAGACCATGACAGAAATGAAGTTATTGGCGCAGACCAAGAAGCAGTAAAGCGGTTCTAAGTACCCGTTGTATTTGTTGCAGCTTCTACCTTGCACAGAATTTTGGTACTTGCCAGTTCGCCAAGACTCTTTGACTTATGTCGGCGTCATTCATGTGGGCCTGCTTCAGCTACAGTCCGCAGGCGCAGCATACACAGGAGTGCACATGGGTGTTCATATCAAAGCTAGCCAGATGCTGGCCAGGTGTGGAAAAACTCGCATGAAAAAGGTTCTTTCCTCTTTGCTTGGCTGCGCAGGCTTTGCAACCCCCTTTATGCGTGTGGTCCACATGCGCAAGTTGGGTTGCAAAGATCATGTGGAACCAACAACCTCAATCTCCAAGAGGAGGTCGAAGCCAAGCAGCGCGGAATCAACGACTTCGTGTAGTGATGGGGTCGAGCTGGCAACAGGATCCATATATTGTGCTGCCACCGTGGCCCTTCTGTTTGGGTACGCTGTGCTTCTGATGGACTATGGACCAGCGGTTTCGGAGGAGTGGCGCCTTCAAAACATGGAGGGTCTTTCCTTGGTAGCTTGCGGTTTGAGGCTCGATGCCTGCCAAGCCGAATATGAGCAAAAGGCAGTTTAATTCCGCATCACCTAGTAGTCTTCGGGAGGCCTTAGGAAATCATGTGCCATGAATTCAATGCCAGAGTGTGGAAAACGATCAGGTCAGCTGTACGTGTGGGAAAAATTCGCATCACAAGGTTCTTTCCTCTTTGCTTGGCTGCGCAGGCTTTGCAACCCCCTTTACGCGTGTAGTCCACACGTGTAAGTTGGGCTGCAAAGATCCTGTGGAGCCGACAACCTCAACCTCAAAGAGGAGGTCGAAGCCTTCGACCTCCTCTTTGAGGTTGAGGTTCGAAGCCAAGCAGCGCGGAACCAGCGACTTCGTGTAGTGATGGGGTCGAGCTGGCAACAGGATCCATATCTTGCGCTGCCACCATGGCCCTTCTGTTTGGGTACGCTGTGCTTGCGGTTTGAGGCTCGATGCCTGCCAAGCCGATCATATGGCCTTGCCGTGCAGCAGGGACAGCGAATGCAAAATCTGTTTCTGGTTGCATTTGTCTTGGGGCTCGTCTACACTCTGGTCTTTGATTGCGATCCCTTTGTGTCGAGGGGACGGGCCTTGCCAGTGGCTGGGTTTGCTCTTACTTTCCCCATGATGACGGTGCTGGCTGGTGCAGTGCAGTGCATTCAAGGAAGGCCATTGGGTCATGCCACATGCCAGGCGCGTCATGCTTTGTGCCCTCTATTTCTCCATCATGTCAACAGGGTTGATCTTCCATTGGAACTGGAAGTTTGGCGCAGATCCCACTGGCATGTAGTATACATATATGTAAGCATGACCAGTAACTCGGTAAGCGGCTCGAAATTGAAAGGCTTGCGTGAAAAGGGACGATGCTTTCGACTTGGCCTTTCGTTTAGGCCTTATCGCTTCATGGGTTTTTGGGCTTCAGAACCCCAATTTCAGAGGCCTAGTACAGAATGAGGGAATGCGCGTTAATTACGAGGATGACAACACCGATCCATTACCCCATTCCCTACTAACCGCCAGTATACGTCAACAGAAATGTTTCGTGGCTTCGGGAGCATGATGAGCAGGCATATGCATCTCGTTGCTGCAGGTCTCATTGCGCACCCTTTGCGAGAGACACGGGGTGCAGATGGATTGCTGGCAGGATTGGCTGCAGAGCGCGTGCGCCCATCTTGACGCTGCAGCACCTCGGGAACTCTGGCGGCTCAGTCACGAATTGGACACGCTTCATCTTGAGCCATTTGCAGGAGCTTTGACTTGGAAGGATGTTGCTTCAAAAAGCCACTGTCGAGAGATTTTCGTTCACCGTTCTGCTGCCCATGCTTTGAGGCAACCGCCCAGTGCCAAGATGGCACAGCAACCGCAGTCACAGGCTGGAAGCTATCGGTAGGTGCTGCCTCTTCAAAGCCCCCGTGTCTGGTCTTGCGCACCATGCTTCATGATTGCATGATCCCAACATCAGGTGAAGTCTTGCAACGGGGCGATGGTGTAAGTAAGCGGTTTTGCTGCATCGCACTGCCACCACAAACCACCACTTCCCAGGAGGATGCACAGGAGGAGGATGAAGAGCTGGTGGCGGACCAGCACATCCTGTCATCCGACAATGTCGCTGGGGCACGCTGCCCGGAGCTACCATCGAATAGAGCTGCATGCCTGTGGCCTTGATTTCCACTTCATGGTGGAGGTTTGACGGCAAGCCTTTGCATCAGCGTCTCATACTCGTAGTAGCAGTATGTATCCTGAGCAGGCTGCGATGAGCTCCTTCGATGCAGAGGCCAGCAGGGATGCTTGTGCCACCCTACAAGGCTAAGAGGCCAGATCATGTCATTATTAATCAACAACCAACCTAGCAGAGGAAGATCTTCTGAAACCACGCCCGTGAGATGTCCAGGAGCTGGTTCAAGACGCCGAGGCACATGGGCTCGCAGACGGTGAGCTGCAGCAGTAATGGAGGGGCCTTAATAATTAGAATAGGGTGCTCCTTATTCGAATTATAGTATACTATACCCCTAAACCCTATTCCAATTATTAAGGCCCATACACCCTAAACCCTCATAGTAGCCCTTATAGAACCCTTTAAGGAACCCCTAAAAGACCCGATTATAATCATTACGGTTCCTATATTAAACGCTTGTAGTTATAGTATTTATACCCCTCAGCCCTATTCTAATTATCAAGGTCCCTATATTAAACCCTAGTAATTATGGCATGTTATCCCTTACCCCTATTCTAATTATTAACGTCCCTAATATAGGGAACCCTATCATAATTATTAAGGTCCCTATAGTATGTGGGGGACACATCAGGCCATATCAGGCCAAGGCTGCGACTCTGCCGTTTCCTGGCGCAGGCCGTGGCCAGCGCTGCGGTGCTCAACTCGCAAAAGGAGCGGTTTAGGGTTGAGGCTTTAAGGGTTTTGGGTTTTGGGTGACAGAAGGAAGGCTCTGCCCTCGAGCTGCGCTGCCGGCATACACTGCAAGTCCGTGCTGAAAAAAGGGTTCTGTCTCCTTGAGCTAAAGCTGCTATAGCACCTTGACTTGTGCTTCCGTATTTCACAGGAGCAGCTGCGACAGGAGGCAGCCTGGGCAGTGACCCCAGCCTGAGACGCTAAAACTAATGCTGTTTTGGTCTCTGCTGCGCAGAGATGCTGCTAGCCAGAGGCTGCGGTTGTGGATGCGGATCGAAACGCGTTCACCGGATATTGGATTCGCCTGTTGGCAGCTGGGGGCCTACTCTGTTACTCTGTCTCTTGGCGATATATTCACCAATTCCTCCGCGATGCTTGGAGGCCACTGCGAAGATCGCAGGGCCCGAGCGAGATCTTCCGGCGGGATTGGAGGCTTGAAGTGCAACTGCAGACACGGTGATGCAGTATCCAGTGTGAACTGGCGTTCCCAATCCTCCTTGGAGACACTGAAAGATGGGTGAATTCGACAGAGGGATGGGCTAACGCACCTGCTGAAAAACCGGCCAGGCAGTTGCTCTGGCCACCATGCACACATCGATTGCATATCATTTTTTTGCTGCTAGATGCTGTCCTCGATAACGGCAGGTTGCTTACATGACGAGGTCCTTTGTATCCCAGTCGTTGAAACTGCACGCGAGTGGAAGCTGCGGGAGTTGGATGCACCCTGCGGGCCGGGAAGGCCATGGATACTCGATGCAATTAAGATATGACCTGTCGAAATGAAAAGGGGTTCGTCATATCGCAGTTGCTTTCAGCAGCCGACTGTGCATAGCAGCGTCTACTAAGTCGCATCCCTCATGCAACGTTGTGAAGCTGCGATTGTCAAGAGCACGCAAGACATCGCTAGTCACAGATTCAGAAAGGTGCATCATTCTCAGTGCGGAAATGTGGCATCTGCTGAAGACGTGTTTTGGTAGGGCACACGAGTCCGGGTCTGCGACCGTTTGGGTCAGTAATTGTGAGTCGCAGTGTGCACAGGTATTTCCATTATATTCCTTTGTTTGCCGCTGCTACTTGGGGCCAGCGCAACATGGGTGAGAAGCGTGAATTCCGGCGCATGCCAGCAGAGCCATGGGCTAAGGCTGAAAACCGACTTGGAAAGCACTCTGGCCACCGTGCGCGGGAGTCGGGTGCAGATGAAGGTATGACATTCCTCGTTGTTCTGGTTCAGTCGGCAGTCCACGGCAGCGTCTTCTGACCTGGATGTTCCGTGCAAGTTGCGAAGTTGCTTTGACTAGCTGCGGAATGCAGATTGGGTGCAGCACCAGATTCAGAAAGGTGCATCTGCCGGTACCGGGCACAAGTGTGCGGGTGCAACT